CTAGTTTAGTTTCTGGAGGCAGTGAGATTGTTGATTGATGAAGATATGATTAAGTTTTTCCAAAGGGTTTTAATGTTCTCATGCTACCTCATAGAAAAATCTATTCACAAGCTATAGGCAATACATGTATTTCTTCCTTTCACAACTTAAATACATGTTGGTTTCTTCGTTTTTTTAATATTTTACTATAAATTTGAAGGCAATTTTATCATGTAATTTCTGGTTTCTATTGATGTGAGATAGACACTGCATTAATTTATGCTTTTAAGCTTTATTGATATATCTAATGATAAATCAAACTTGTAGTCATACTCTAGAACTAATGTAGACAATGGAAATATGTATACACACACACACACACACACATACACACATGCACAAAGGCTGGTGAAATTTAAGAGTAATATAATTGAAAGTACATGTGCATATTCTGTAGAATCATTTTCCCATAATGAAATGTTGGACCTTTAATGTTTGACTGCCAGTATTTTTCTTTTTCTCATGTTAAATAAAAACATGTGTGCAATTACTACAAATAACTCATAATAAGTTGTCTGTCATGAAGGATAACATAAATTATTTGAGTTTATGGAAACATAAAAACAGATGTTAACCAACAAACTTTTTTTTTACCAGCTTATAACAAGATCTATTTTGCTACTCAGTGATAGTAGTGATAATAATCTAATAAAATAGTGTATCTGTTTTTTGTGTGTTTCTATTTGTCTCTAGAATAATTTCTTATAAAAAAAAGCCTTATTTGTTTCTCTTTTGGGACAATACTTTTATAGTACTCAAAGGAATCAAATACATAAGGAAAAGAAAAAATAGAATTTCAATAATGTGACTCAGGTGCTTTACACTGGGTCTCGCCACCTCAATTCTTAGGTTTGGAGATATCAAATTACTAACCTGGAGGGAGATGATATACAAAGATCATGGATAAATTAAAAAAATAAAATGTAAGTATTTAGTATGATGTCTCTTGATGCAGCCTAATATGTTTCTCCAGTAAGAAGGCAAGTTCTTCTTTAGATTTTTAAATAATCTGGCAACAGGATTTTTGATATGATTGGAACAATGTAATTGCCACTAACAATCTGGATCACAGTTTACTCATTTGCAAAATGATGACATTAGGTGATGTCTAAAAATCAGACAATTATAGATTGAAAGAATCTATAATCCTAAAATGCTAGGGTAAAGATAGAGGTAAGAAGTCTCTAAGCATATTTTTAGAGCTCCTAAAACGAAACAAAAAAACAAACTCACTGCCGTGGGGTCAATTTCTACTCAGAGAGACCCCCTTCTTGGGTTTCTGAGGCGGTATCACTATGGAAGTAGACTGCCCAACCTTTCTTCGAAGGAGTGGCTGGTGGGTTTGAACCTCCAGCCTTCTGGGTAGCACTATACTACCAGAGCTCCAAAGGTGGTAGAAAATGTTAATGCATTTGGCTGCTCACTGAAATATTGGAAGTTTGAGTCTAACCAGAGGTGCTTTAAAAGAGAGACCTGGCAACTTACTGCTATAAAATCAGCCACTGAAAACCTTATGAAGCATAGCCCTGCTCTGATACACATGGGGGTTGTCATGAATTAGGCTTGTCTTGAGGTCAACTAGTTTAAGCATGTTTATGCCATCAGGGGGTAACCTCTTGCCAGGAAATGTGCAGTCCATTATATTTCATTCAGAATTGTAAAATTATTTCATAGGAATTTATGGAAGTGAAAAAACCACAGAAGAAAATGTACACCTATATATAGTTAATTGTCTACGTGCCGTTCAAGTATCTTAAAGATATCTCAAAATCAAAGAATGCTTAAAGCAAAAACATGAACCACATTTTTTTAAAAATGTAATAATAACAATTATGTCACTAGTCCCACTCAACAGGTCAGAAGGGTGGCAGCAGCAGTTGAGTGAGCTCCTCAGAGACAAGACAGTGGGGAGGCAGCCTACCAAGATGTCCCTACCCATTCCTTTAGCATCCACTTTGTTGTTACCTGGGGAAGGTGCAAAACTGAGGCAGAAGCAGTAGCTGCATTCTCACTCAAGTTACAGAGGCAGCGATGCAGTGGGTGAGGCCTCTGAGACAAGCCTGGGCTACTCTTATACTGCCTGTAAAAGACTAGCTCCCTGGCCAGAGGGGTAAATAAGTAAATAGCATGACTCCTACCACCCCTATAGTTGTTAAGTGCCTTGGAGTCGGACCCGGACTCATAGTGACCTCTCCATGGGTTTCCGATGCAGTATCACTACAGAAGTAGATTGCCCCATCTTCCTTCCGAGGCATCTTCCTTCCGAGGAGTGGTTGGTGGGTTTGAACTGCCAGCCTTCTGGTTAGCAGTCAAGTGCCTTAGGCACTATGCTACCAGAGCTCCCCTGTTGTTGTTGTTAAGTGCCGTTGAGTCGTTTCCGACTCATAGCGACCCCATGCACAGCAGAATGAAACACTGCCCGATCCCGC